CAGTGATTCTCTCTCATCATTGATGTTTCTCTCTCTCCTCTCTCTCTCTCTCTCTCTCTCTCTCTCTCTCTCTCTCTCTCCCTCTCTCCCTTCCTCTCTGAAATAAAAATATGTTTTAAAAAATCTATTCATTATAAATCTCAGGAAAGTGCTTACTTTAGACGAAAGCTTATTATTTGAAACAATAAAGCAATGATATTTTAATTAATGTCCTAGTATTAATAGACATTGGCAGCTGCAATATAAGGATATGTGTAAGGAAATGAGAATAAAAAAAGTTCGTAGTCCTTTTTAGTGTTTGTTTATGCATCTGTTAAATGGAAAAAGATACCTATCTTATGGAAAAAGCAAGCACATACAGAGGTCAATCAGGTACAAGATGGATGATGATTTTATAAACAATGTTATACAAATGGCGTATGAAGATTATGAAACTACTAAGACTATGATAGATCATTTAGGAGAAAAGCCTGAATATATGGGGGGTGCTTCTAGTATCCATACTAAAAGCCAGTTACTTGGAACTATAAATTTTTTACTAAGAAACAGAGCTAATGGTCTTCTCTCTCAGTGATCTCACCAACATAATAAGTTTTCCCTACTATCATTTCCTAACATTCAGAATAAGCCAAATGCCCAGATAATTGCACAATTTAATTGCTTAAGAACAAATCATAACTTTAAAAAATATGTAACAGCTTGAAAATTCACTGTTCTGGGCAAGAAATAAATGTGTCTGAGTGGGGGATTCTACCAAGTAAATAAAAGGCACAGATCACTAACCAACCCTCTGGACCATGTGCAAAGAAGAAACAAGGAAAAGGGGAGAGTAGGAAGAAAAACAGATATGGGTATAGGGAACTACTGGTGTCAGAATGTACAAAAAAGAACCTATCTGTAAAAGAAGAGTCCTTCAATGGTAAGAAGAATCGTAGATAGATTCATTTAATAAATATTTATTAAGTACCTACAACATGCCAGATGCTATTTAGGCAGAATGCCTCGGTGAGCCAAGACACAAAAATCTCTGCCTTCACGGAGCCTATATTCCAGGATAAGTGTGTGCGGTGGTGGGTGGGAAGGTAGAGAGGGAATAAACAATACACATGCTAAGTAAATTGTATGGTATATGAAGTATTATATGCGAGCATGCTGACTTCTCAACTTCTTCATTATTTGTTTTTAAGGATCCTTCTACAGCCAGAGGACCTCAACTTGTCCAGTGGAAGGGGAGATCCTGATTTAACACTATTAGGTGGGCTGAATTGAAATTTTTAGGGGTGGTTTAACAGATGACAAAATATCAATAAAAATAACAATATTTATCAAGGAAAGTTGTCTAAGCTGAAAGAAGAGAACCAGAAGAGGAGATAGGTTTATTATTAGATTACAGAAAAATCTGTGTTTCAGAAATGGTTATAATGTTTATATTACTTGTTAGTATTCTTACCCAAGGAATGGGAAATGTCTGTTGCCCTGAGCTATATCTGGATGTACATTAAGTGACATGCCTTTAGAAAGTACATCTCTTTGATACAATGGAACATAGCAAACATACCGCATATTCTAGTTTAGTGAAGGAACTCAGATTCTTTCCTTTCAGAAACATGAAAGGATTTTAGCTTTCTTTCTTTCCTTCCACTCAGAAACAGTGAATGAGCTTTAACTTTATAGAATTTGGTTTGAATTCCTGGGCCTTAGGCAAGTATTTTATCTTCTCTAAAACCCAGTTCCCCCATCAATGAAATATGGATAATAACTACCTCACAGGATTGTTCAGAGATAATCAATGCCAACTGCCTGGTATAGGTCCTAATAAATTCCAGGCATCAAACAATTCAGTTTCCTTAATCACATAAATAATTTATAGTTAAGAAGACAATGCAAAAGACTGGAAAAAAAACACTGAACTTGAAGCCAAAAGACTAGGGTTCAAATTCTAGCTGTTACTTACTCTTAGGTACCTATTACTTACTAACCTCTGTAAGTTTGGTAATTATAAAATGGGAGTAATAATTTCCCCCTCCCAGGATTATAATAATTAAATCAGATGACATACACTAAGTGCTTTAAAGTGTGAAACACTACATAAAAAATAAGTATTATCATAACTTGAAAAAATGTTCTAAAAATATACTATTTTGGACTATTCTGATTAGTTGCATATCCTACCACTATAGGGTACTGTTAGCATAATACATTTTCCTATAATTTTTAGATTATTACATAAAGCAGGATGTGTAAGTTTATAGATCCCTAGAGGAACTGCTGTTATAAAGGGAATTAAATCTGTTGTTACTTTCAAAAGACTCCCTACAGCTAAATGCTAGCTTCTTTTCTCCCCCTAAAAGAACTGAAAAGATTACAAGACATTATCTTCACGTACACTGCAAAATCATTTGTTATTCACCATAATATTTTATTACTTGAAAAATCCTGCTGTGATATTTTAAATCTTTACTAAAGAAACTAGCATTCCAATATTACAGAACTCATATTCATTGAACAATATACTTAATATAAGTGGGGGAAAATATTCCTTGAAATTCTGAGCAATTATCATGGCAGGACAAGCTCAACAACTCATTCCAATGCCAAAATCTAATATCAGAGACTGGGCAGTAGAAGCAGCTGAAAATTTTCTGTTTTATTCTCTTCTTCTAAGAACTAGAGGTGGAGAGGTGTTAAGAAGAAACAGGGGGGATAGACGTGTTTTTAATTATTAAGGAATCATGCCAGGGCACAGACATTACTCACTGTTCTTGCCTTTCCTTTGGTGAATGCCTCTTTGTTGCAAACCTCATTGATTAAGGAATTCTTTCCAGGTTAATTTTAGTTTATTCTGGTGAGATTTGCCCTTAGAAGGAAACAGTTCATATCACAGTCCTAGAAGCACATATGCAGTTCCTCTCATTTAAGTTTTTTAGTCTCTTTTCTCTCCTTTGTTCATATAGTATACACTAAACATTTTGTTAAAAGTGTCTTTGAAGGCTTGCTGATTTTCACTTCTCTACCCACAACCCCCATCTTTCTCCCTCTTCGGAGACCCCTTTCTTCCCCATTCTCCCCAACACTAACATCTGTCTGCTTTTCTGTAAAGAACACTGGTATCTTGAGAGGAAGTGTTACACAGTGTGTGAAAGAAAAGTAGAATTAGTGAAAGGCAATATTATCCCAGCTCATGGTCAGTAAAGATACATTTTTGGACTATGTATGTGAAAATGACATGCATTTTCCTACATGGGAACACTGTTTTTGTTTGGTAAAAGTCTTGCATAAATAGTTTCACAAGGCAAAAAGTGAATAAACAAAGAGATGAAGGAACAAAGGTAGAAGGAAAGAAGGAAAAGAAACAAGGAGAAAGATAATAAAGGACACAACTTTCCTACAAGGAGAGGGAAAACCTGCACAAAATTCACTAACCTCTAAATGACATGGCTGAGCACTGAAGCAAGCGATCAACCCAAAGAAACAGAATCAAAATCTTAACAATTCACCTTGGAATGAGCAAGAGAAATATGCCTTTTAATGGTCTCGTCATCATTAGGTAGGGAATGAGAAGATACAATTACCTGAATATGCATCTTAATTATTGCTTTTCCAATCAAGGTTGCACCAAAGAAAGTCCAAAAAGGTACAAGAAAGTGTCCGCATGTTATTCCAGCCAGATCAAACAGAGGATTTGGAATCTGTAAATAAATAAAGAAGTTAAAAATGGAACTTCCAACATATAATCCAAAGAACAGTTTCATTTTACCACCTATAAGTATATCCTTACACTACAAAGAGAGGTATGTCCCTTGATCAGCACTAGACCGAGGCAAATATTCTAATGTGTCCATAAACTAGGTCTCACATTCATCTCAGGTTGTTGTTCAATCTGTTCAAAGCAAACCAGCTATCCTTTTGCTTGTATTACTTATGGCTAATGTCTCATTAATATACTTTTTTTCTATCACATTAGAATTTAACACCATTCAGTAGATTGGTTGGCTATTTGGTAGCTGTTTTCTAAGGTGAGATATACATGAGAAAAAGCCTTAAGATTATTTTAGTAGTTGCTAGGTCTGAAAATCTTTAACGTGAAATAAGAATATAATCTAGAAAGTGCTCACATCTATATATACCAAACATTGTTGTAAATTCACAAATATATTTCTAGGTGGATGTGCTTTTATTTCTCAACATAAAACATCCATTATTTATATTTTATTTTAGGAGAGCCCAAGGCCATGGATTGTGTGATACATTTTAGAAAGAAAGTCAAGTGTGGAAATACAAGAGCACTGATTCAGATATTTTGAATACTCAGTCCCAGACAAAGAAGTGATTCACAACAAATACCTTTTCTAAACATTCCCACATTTCAAGAATGCTAAAAGACAATTTCACATAAAAATGCAAAGACACCACAAGCTATTTTGAGTGCTTCACCCATTTTTCTCCCATAGAAGTACTCTGTCCTTGTGGCTGTTGGCCAAACCATTTATAAATCAATTTATATCATTTCATTTTTGAACTTTCAAAGCAAAGTCTAGTTATATAAAAGATACTTGTCACATATGTCCTTTTAAAAACAGTGCCATGACTAAATTAGAATTCAAGTATTTTTTTGTTAGTAACACTTGGATTCAATGACTCAGTTTTGTTTTTAAATTCAAAGCCTTCATGCAATTTCATCTGACTTACAACCATGTAATAACAGTATCACTTCACAGTCTCACATCAGTCATTTCTTAAAAATTTTCATGTGACCCTCAAAACTGTGAATTACAATTTTAATAGTTTTCCTTTTTTATCAGGCTCCACCTCACACACGAGCCTGAGGATTCACATACATAATCTTAAATCCTCACCTGAGCCTTTGCAATGAATGTCGTATTGCCCCATTTTGAAAATTAAAACCTAGGGTTCAAAGAGAGTAACTTGATTGAGGTTACCTAGCTAGTAAAAAGTCCAAACTTGCCGAAACCGGTTTGGCTCAGTGGATAGAGCGTCGGCCTGCGGACTGAAAGGTCCCAGGTTCGATTCCGGTCAAGGGCATGTACCTGGGTTGTGGGCACATCCCCAGTAGGAGATGTGCAGGAGGCAGCTGATCGATGTTTCTCTCTCATCGATGTTTCTAACTCTCTATCTCTCTCCCTTCCTCTCTGTAAAAAATCAATAAAATATATTAAAAAAAAAAAAAAAAGTCCAAACTGGTTTAGGAACCCAAGTAAGCCTGACTCTAAAGCCAATTCTTTCTACTATATCACATTACAACATACCTATAAACTGCTCAAATAGTTAAGGTCAATATTGTGATAAAGAACTTCTATGTTAAAAAGAAAAAATTTCGATTATAAAAATTTCTAGTATTGCCAAGGTCAAAAGATGTAATTCAGGCACAGATATGCTTTGGAATAGCTCTAGAATGTTGATACCAGATTAAAAATTTTGGCACTCAATGGTCTCCTTTTTGTCCATTTGCTTTGCTAAGGCTGGAAAGGGGGTTCTCAAAGATGTATTATTGTTCAGTACATAATGGATAAAGTAGCTGGTATTAACAGAAAATAATTTTGTGAATTTTACTTATAATGGCATTTTTTATCAGTATCAACCAGGTGCACCTAGTTATTCTGGTCAAATCCACCAGTGAGCTACCAACAGTTGTGTACAGGCGACCAAAGAAAACTTGGATCAAAACGCTCCATTTCAAATGTAGTTATTTCTATTATATAGAAAAGGACCAGGATAAAACACCCATCAAAGAATGTTAGTTTCACAAATCTGTAATTTGAGACATTAATTAAGTAAAGCCAAATTTTTTAAATTTACAATCAATATTATTTTGTATTAATCAGGTACAGCATAGCAGAGACATTAAATGTTTGACATAAAGAGCGTCTTAGTTCACTGTAGCCAAAGATGCCCTTAACTTTGCCACAGCCATTCCAATTATCTAACTAGGTGTTAGCATCACTTAAGGCAGGTTTTATACACATTTTCTTTATAGTTAATGCTTGAAATTTCGGGAAAAGATGACTTATCTATATCTCTGGAAAGAATGAAGGCATTGTTATTTGGTTAAATGCACTTCATTATAAATTCTCCATGGGAAGGATGGATTTTTGTCTCTTTTGTTCTTACTGAATCAAGCCATTTAGGTCTGAAGTCATCATGGCATGATGAAATGCTTAAAAGTCAATAAACAAAATATGAACATATTCACCAGAAAACAGCTCATTTGATGAGTAAGATGAATGATTAATAAAATTACATACCCGTTAAAAGTGATAGCATTATTGTTCAAGCATGTATCTTTAAAAACAAATTGGATCAAAATATAAATCTAGCATTTATTGGAATTTCTCACTTTTAATACAATTTACTTACTGAAGCACAGGCCAAAATTCCAAAAAATCCAACCTTCTGTACTAGGTTTTGTACTGCCAGCTTAGCCCGGGAGCAAAGTCCTATATAAAAGAAGGATATCAAAACATTAATGAAAAGTACAAGGAAGGAGGGAAAATAACTGTTTACAAAGTTTATAATATTAAATGCCTCATGATCTGAAAGCATTGATTCATTTAATGAGATGAATTATTTTTAAAAATTACAGGTTGCACTGGAAAACATGCAAATAGAATCTTGATAGAACATTAATTACATCCTTAATGATAAACTTGTACCAGATTTCAAGACTAAGCTAAAACATTGTGACTTTAGTTTTTGCATCCCCTCTGGATTATCTAGGGGTGAACAAAATGCTATAAACTAACCATGAACCAACTCATTTTTTTTTTTTTGGAAATACTGGCCTACCACATCTGTCTATTTCTCTTTCCTTCTACAACTCACCAGACTTACTCCCGGATTAATACCAAGGTAAGAAATCATAAGATCTTTCAAGATAGCCAGTGAAGACACCTGGGCTGATCACTAGCCAGAAGATGGAAAACCAGTTATGTGGCAATAACTAAGCATTCATTACACCCAAAAGCAAAGTAACATCCTACATTTGCACAGCCTGTGCTAGATTTTATAAAATGTTTTCACAAACATTTTACTTGAGCCTTTTAATAATCCCGGGGTATAAATAGGGCAGATTCTTCAGACTCTGAAATCAGTGGGTTTTCCCCCCTTTATTGCCATTTCTGATGCTGAAACATACATTTGGCTGGCTAATTATTTTCACAATTTTCTTCTTCAGCATATTGATGCTACAATTATATATATGTACTAGAGGCCCACTGCACGGGATTCATGCACTGGTAGGGTCCCTAGCGGCTGCTGGCCGCGTACTCCCTCCCTTCCCCTGGCCACCTGCCACCACCACTGCTGGCTGGGGTGTCCCTCCCTTCCCCCGGCTGGCCCTGCCCCCTGGTCGAATTCCCCGACAACTCCCAGTTGAGGGGACAATTTGCATACGCTTTTATTATATAGGATATGTTTTTCTTAAAAATACCATTCTGATATTTGATTATAATTATTTTCTGATTTTGAAATGGCATATATTCCAATCAAAATTTCAATGGAAATAAATGATATGATAAAAAATATTAGTTAATGTATAAATGTATTTTTAAACAGTGTTCACATCATAGAATATCTTCCTCTCCCTTTGGTTCAATGCTCTAATAGGCAACAATCTTATAGAAAGGTCAGAATATAAAAAAATAGAAGGTTCCTTCATAGAATAGAAACAGGATTTAAAGCACTTCTCTAATCCACAACATAAGTTGTATATTTCTACTTAAAAAACCACACACACACACACACACACACACACACACACCTTTAACAAATATGTAGAATAACCCTAGCAAATTACAATATTAAATATTAAAAATTTAAAAATGATAATACCTTCCTCCTACTTGAGGATGGTGAGAAAATCAAAGGAATTAAATCAATAATGTATATGTATTTTAAAAGATCCTATATAATAAGAGGGTAATATGCAAATGGACCAAATAGCAGAATGTCCGGTCACTATGACACACACTGACCACCAAGGGGCAGACACTCAACGCAGGAGCTGCCCCCAGCCAATCGGGGCCTGCTGGCCAACCTCTTGGTTCTTTCTCCCCGGCCAGCAGGTTCCAATTGCCTGATGGTGAATGAGGAACCGGAGGTAGGGGGCGGGCCGGCTGCCGGTAGCCAGGGAAGATGGCCCTGATCTCAGGCCAGGCCTAGGGACCATACCCATGTACGAATTTCGTGCGCCGGGCCTCTAGTATTAATATAACCACTTTCAAGTATATAGGCTCTCAAAGTTAATCATTAACTAAATTCTACAATGTAACTTTTATAATTTTACAATTTATTTCCAAAGAGATAATTTTTCTTTTGGGAATTAGCCTTATTTTTTCAGTAAGTCATTATATCAGATTTAATATTTTTAAACAACTGAACGACTGCAGTAAAGGGCACTTTACATTTTCATTCAGATTTCTAACTGAAGATTTACTGTTTCCCCTTAAGTGAACAACTATTGCATTATTTATTTTAAGGATAACATATTTATTATATTTTCCAAGTCAGACATATGTGGGAACATTTTTCTATCACAGAATTTATATACCCTTCAATATGTAAAATCATAGAAAATTAGATTTTTGCATAAAATGGTATAAATAAGGTCAACTGTATTTAGAAGGTTTGGCGTCCTGTTTTCTTTCTTCTTTCTTTCTTTCTTTCTTTCTTTCTTTCTTTCTTTCTTTCTTTCTTTCTTTCTTTCTTTCTTTCTTTTTTAAATTTTATTGATTTTTTACAGAGAGGAAGGGGGAGGGATAGAGAGTTAGAAACATCAATGAGAGAGAAACATTGATCAGCTGCCTCCTGCACATTCCCTACTGGGGATGTGCCCACAACCAAGGTACATGCCCCTGACCGGAATCGAACCTGGGACGCTTGAGTCCGCAGGCTGACGCTCTATCCACTGAGCCAAACTGGTTACGGCCGTCCTGTTTTCTTTAAAAAAAGTTTTTTATTTTCAATTACAGTTGACATACAATATTATAAGTGTCTCTTTTCTTTTTATCTTAATTTCAAGGCTTTAGAATCTTATTATTTATTTAAACCAGGTGACTATGGTAGTGCAGTCATGTTAAACTGATGGTATTTTTCTATTAGAGATACACACATATATATATATTTAAATTTAAAAATAGTATAATTAAACCAAACATTATGCAGATCACTTAATATACAAAATAATAAAAATATTTAAGCCTACAGAAGTTCAAGGAATCATGTTTTTAAAAATATCCCGAAAGTAAGGAGACATTTTATCCCTTGAGGCAGAATCTCTGTACTCAACAGAAATCAGACAAGAACAAAGGAAAATAGACTCCTTGTTCTTTCAGATGCCTGGGTGCCCATCATCAATTATTCTTAACAGTGTTTCAAGAATTTTTGTTTCAGGGAAGTTACTCGATCCAAATAAATGAAGTAGAAACCTCCCTTAACCATTTTCTTTTTTAAAATTAATTTTTAGCTGGCATATCTTACAAGGAAAACAAATTAAGTGTCTTTTAAATGGGGAGTTTTTACTTTTTAAAAAGTCTGAAAGTCATGTACTGAAAATGGATTTCATAAATCTCATTATGTGCTTAACACACACGCACACAGTGACCATGCTACTTTCAGTTCCTATAATTTATTTTCCAGGTCTTTCACAATATTCTCAGAATTAAAATTACATTATACTTTCAACCACCCGTACACATTTATTTAAATTAATGTTTTTCCTTGCCTGTGTAATTCAAGCAAACTCAGGGGATCATTGTATTAGTATTCACAACAAATCTAAAATATTTAACAATAGTAAAAGTACTCATGTTTAGATTTCATAGACACAACCATATTTTGTTTTTATTTTAAACATTTTACTTTAAAGCCATATATTCAAAAGTTTGATATGGCTCTAGAGCAGTGGTTCTCTACCTTCCTAATGCTGCGACCCTTTAATACAGTTCCTCATGTTGTGGTGACCCCCAACCATAAAATTATTTTCGTTGCTACTTTATAACTGTAATTTTGCTACTATTATGAATCGTAATGTAAATATCTGATATGCAGGATGTATTTTCATTGTTCGCGACCCACAGGTTGAGAACCGCTGCTCTAGAGGCTTATTAATATATTTTTATTGAAAATATCATTCTTTTACTGTCTAAAATATTCTACATGTAGTTTTACTTTCCTGTTTGTTGCACTGTAGTTTAAAACTTCTTTATTTTTTTAAAAATAATTTGGTATTTTTTCATTATTTGCATAATTTGACAGCTCCTTCTTAACAGGTTGATTTTAAAGTAACATTGTCTAGGCATTAAAATATTTATATTTCTCCCTGCTTTAAAAGAGAAAGAACTGTACTGTGGGTATATTATTTGACAATAAACCCAAATAAACACACACACACATCACAAATGAGCAAAAAATTCCTCTTTTACTAAAATTTAAAAGAACCATTTAAAACAAAATTTGCTATTCTTTTTAGGCCATCAAATAAGATAAATAAGGCAAGGGAAAGTATGCACCAATAACAAACAATAATATCTTAAATAAAAAGTTTAACAAATTAGTGTGTTAGGTATTCAATATTCAAATAAAATATAAAAGGAAATTAGTATTTCATTTTAATGGTTTTAGAGTATTTATGGGAACAATGTAGTAAGTTTAATTTGATTACTTCCTCAATTGTTATTCTTCATTTTAAAAAAATCTGTACAACTAAAACCAAATTCCTTTAAATAGTTTCATTTCTCTGGATTCACATTTCACAATGTTTACCTATTTCACAATTTAAGTGCCTGAGAGGAACGTTTCATTCTCTTGCTCTACCTAAATAAATAGCATGCATTTACAATTAGTTATCACATATCACTTTTCACTTTTTAAAAATAAACAAAATACAAATAAATAAAATTATCTTCCCTACTCCCACTGATATTCATGCTTCTGAAAGGAAGAATGAGAGACACTAGGAATATTTCCCATTGACTACAAGAAGACAGATGAAGAAAAGTTAAATCCTTATCACTGAGATTTAAAGGATTAATAATAATATTAATAATAAACCACACAAAGCCTTCAAGTATAAATAATCTGCACTACTTTTGCTTCACATTTCTTTTCCCTAAAAAAATACATTTATGATTAAGGGAGAAGAGAAACTGTATTGCTAAGCATAATTAGCTTATAAAATATTAGTCTTTGAATCTACAGATATCAGATTAGAGCCAAACATATGAAATAACATTTATCTTCAAATGGCAACAGTCATCTATTTCATTTTCATAAGTGGTCACATGAAATTTCAAGATCTCTTTAAAAAGTGACAGTAAATTCCTATACATGTTAAATGACTGCAATATTATCATAGATAAATATGTATTTGGTTAATAGTTGATGTTAGAGTTGACCTGTTACCATTAAAGTAATGGTAAATTTTATGAATTATCTGTCTTCTTAACCCATGATTTTTAAAACTGCTGAAACGCTCTTCTCGGAGTTGGTATTAAAAGTGGTTCCATAGCCACTATTAAAAACCACAGAGCAAATGTTGCAATAATAATTCCTTGTGTAAAAGGGAAATTTGTATTAAAATTTATTGTATTTGTGAAGTTCTTTTGCCATCTAAAACATGTTAGTATGTCCTAGTCAATTGTGTTGTGGCAAGCAAGTTAAACTCTATTAACCAGAAATGGGGCTAAATAGTAATAATGACAATGTTGTAAGCTGTTTCAGCATCGTTGACACTCTCTCTGAAATATTAACTTGTTATTAAGATCCCAATAACCATGTAATTATTTTCTACAATGTTATTATATTCCACATAGTAAATACAATGAAAGGGTACAATAATTC